CCGTTTGCCGCGTAAAAACGAAGAGGACGTCCCGGCCAGAACGGCACGGCATTTCTTATAATTTACATCAAAGCCCCGCAAGTAAGATTAATGGACGGATGTCGTAACGGGGCGAGGTGCTGAATTCCATGGCTCGTGGCAAAAACCCACGATCGTGTGCTCGGTGTGCACGGAAGATTATGCGCAGAAATTATTACATATCGGATATTCCACGGTAATTGCCGGGAGAGAAAGAAACTGCGACGGAAGAGAAAGCCTCGTTGTGATAAAGATTGTTCCACGAATTGTAATTTGCACTAGAAAACTGAAAGGAATGCTTGCTGAATAATATTGTAAGCTGAAAGCAATATTGTTACCCTTTGTACTTCACTGTTAACTTTGCTATTTTTTGCGGGAAGTTTTTGTCGGTGCTTTGTCATCTGATCACGAACTGGTGACGGTATAATGATGTATCATTCGTATAATGATTACACTTTGTATTGTCTATGGGAGTTGATTTAACTCTCTGTTTACCTGCTGTTGATTTTTACAATTTTTCAAATAATTTTCTAAGGGTAGGTCTGCAGTTGGAATAAAAATAAACAGACTTAAGATAAGACTGTCAAGGTTTAGTCAAATCTGAAATTTGGAAAAAAATGATAAAACATACGACGATAAAATTGAGCCAAGTTATGCTATGTTCAAATTATAAAAACAGATTTAAATAAGAAATAAAAATAGACTGAAACGACGATGAAAAGTAGAACAAAATGAAAATGATACTTCAAGTAATAATTGCAAGAAATAATTACTAAAGAAATATACTTTCGCTGTAAATAAAAGTTAATTTAGTGTCCGCCAGATAAATTTGCACGTAATGTAAGAGAAGTTAAGCAGCGAGTGTACTCGAAGAGGAAAGTGCACTCGAAAAAAGAGGCAACGAATGGGTCAATTCAATCACTTTCCGATACCAATCTCTCGAAATTATCGAAGAAACAGTAGAGGTTGTGAATCGAAGGACAGAGAACGTTCAATCGAAGCGTCTGATCAACACAAATGGTCGACTACTTAATTTCCGAGCGAGCGAACATAAGCAGCTGCAGAATGGAGGGTCGATTCGGGTCGTCGGTTTTAAAGGCGGCAATTACGTGAAAGAGGAGCATCGCCGTTGAAAGGACAGGTTAAACCAAAGCGAAATGGAAACGAATTCTTCCGATTCTGAGACAACCGCTTTATCCTACACTCGGTTGTCCATCGATCGTTACTGTCTCTTTTCGAAATTTCCTTTGAAATACTTCTGCTACTCCCGGCGAACTTCCATACCGTTCAAACGGTTAGAAACTTGCTACACTTCTGATACAATTTGCCGACAGATTAAACACGAAACAGCATTTAAATTAGCGACAAGTTTGATGAAAGGAACTCGATGCTCGTTAAAACTTGTCGATATGAAGTTACGTGATTTACGAGAGTATTAATGTGATTGGAAATTTCTTCTTTCACTTTCGAATGATACTTAGGCTTTTCACGGTGTTATTCTTAATAGAAAAACTAATTATCGAATTACCTTCGTCCCGAATTAACTTTCTGATTCACCAAACTTCCAGGTTTCTAAGTTGCAAAAATACAAATTTTTTAAGTACACTCCAGTTTCCCAAATCCCCAAATATTCAAATTTCCAAAATTCTTAAGTCTTCGATCTCCTAAAACTAATCATCGATCTATTTACTTTCTTTCATCAAAATAAAGAAACAAATTGTCCATCTTACATATAAAACTCGCAAGTGCTCTAGACACAAAAATACACGTGGTATTCCACAGGGTGTCGACACAGAATAACAAATACTCCACGTTGCAAACTCACAAGTAATTAATCACCAGTACATATTGCTTCCCGCGACATTTGAACGACTGATTGCCTTCCTAATCTTTCGGAAGGAATGAAAGTTCACCGCAATGATCCGAGTAAAACTAAAAGGGAAAAAAACGAGCATTCAAAGGAAGTACAACGTTTGCAACCGGTCGAATAGGTTTCCGCAACTCGACAAATCGTGTCACTGATTTCGAACAATGACCATTTGTTCCGAAACGTTTCGTGCAGCTCTCTACCTTCATCTTCTTTATATTATTCATTTTTTAAAATCTTTTTCTTTCTTTAATACGTATATTCATTCGAGATTCATTACCTAAAAGCCCGAAGGTTGACACAGTAACCCGATTCGGTGCGTTTCAACCGAGAGGTAGTTTTCCCCGTCGTTTGCGAACTGTACGAGTCCGTTTCTCTCGATATACCTCGTATTTTGCACGGTTCGCGCCGTTTTCGATATTTGTTTCTCTTTTCACCGTGGCGGAAAAATGTGCGCCGTATCGGGGCACGTTCGTTCCGGATACGCCGGCTATCGATTGCGATTTCCGGAACGAGCCTCCCCTCATTTCAGCCGGACCGTGAAAGGTTCAAGTTTAATTACACTCGTCTCGCGTGGAAATTAATTTCAACGAACGGTGAGTGTTACTTTTATTGGATTACATTTTCACCTGGGAGGCCTCGTTTCAACAGCGGAAAAAAAGCTTTTACTTACCGCTACAATGAAACGATAAACCTGAATGAATTGCCGAGATAAAAAGGGCAGCATGGAACAATGTGCACGGATTCAACTTTTTAAACGTCAAGAAATAATTAATTAATTGCCAATCGGGTTTTTATTTTTCGTATGCCAATTATTCTCTGTTACCTAGTCATTATTATTTATCATGTTTTTACTTCAACAGACAGTTCATTTGTATTCATACTGTATTCCATATGTTTGTAGAACATACATGTATAGAATACATGTATAAAACATGTATGTAAATATGTAGAATATATGTGTAGAACATGTATGTAGATATGTAGAATACATGTGTAGAACATGTATGTAGATATGTAGAATACATGTGTAGAACATGTATGTAGATATGTAGAATACATGTTCCATATATGTGCAGTTACATAGATAATAAGTAATTTGATATATTTAAACTTCATTCGTATGTAGACATGTAAAGTATGACATGTAGAATACATATATAGAACATGTATTCTACATATCTACATAACATACTTTACATGTCTACATACGAATGAAGTATAAATACATCAAATTACTTGTCTATGTAACTGTACATATTTTATCCACAAAAGAAAACTATTAACCTCAACCACACATGAAATACCGAAAATTACCCATATAAGTAAGCAAAACTCTACAGACATCACCAGTTAATATCAGAGACGTTAAATCATTATAACACTTTAGACGAAAGCGACAAATCATTAAAATCCCCCAAACGAAGCAGACAGAAACGGTTCACAGAAATTAGTCGAGGAAAATACGTAAACATCTCTCCTCTTCCCCCGTTCGCATCTGTACGCTTAGGCTATGAGTAATCTAATAAGGTAGCGGTGTCAGAAGCATAATATAGCCATAACTCCGGAGAACTTAGCTGCTGCACATACATGCATACACCGGCGACGTCGAGCGTCGTTTACCGTCGGAACGACGCCAGTCTGACGTCGAAACAGCGGCCCATTCATTCACGTGAGCACCAGGGCGGCACGGCGTGTGGAAATTATAAACTAAACTAATTTATGTGGGTCTCGAAGCTCCGCCAACTACACGCGGCTCGCTGGCGAACGTTCGGCTACTCGTTTACATCGATCTTTTAATGGCAGGAAAAAGTCAAATTACCTCTAGTAAAAATTGTAGACGCAGACTTTTTTAGATTTTTAATTCTGAGTTGGACATATGAGTATTTATACTTGTTTATGTGTGTGAAGTTGTACTTGTACTTTTTTAAGTGAGTTGTAGTTATCAGGTAGGAATGTGAATTATACTCATTACACATATGAGTTGTACTTATGCTCATTAGACATATGCGTTGTATTTATACTTGTTTATGTGTGTGAAGTTGTACTTGTACTTTTTTAAGTGAGTTGTAGTTATCAGGTAGGAATGTGAATTATACTCATTACACATATGAGTTGTACTTATGCTCATTAGACATATGCGTTGTATTTATACTTGTTTATGTGTGTGAAGTTGTACTTGTACTTTTTTAAGTGAGTTGTAGTTATCAGGTAGGAATGTGAATTATACTCATTACACATATGAGTTGTACTTATGCTCATTAGACATATGCGTTGTATTTATACTTGTTTATGTGTGTGAAGTTGTACTTGTACTTTTTTAAGTGAGTTGTAGTTATCAGGTAGGAATGTGAATTATACTCATTACACATATGAGTTGTACTTATGCTCATTAGACATATGCGTTGTATTTATACTTGTTTATGTGTGTGAAGTTGTACTTGTACTTTTTTAAGTGAGTTGTAGTTATCAGGTAGGAATGTGAATTATACTCATTACACATATGAGTTGTACTTATGCTCATTAGACATATGCGTTGTATTTATACTTGTTTATGTGTGTGAAGTTGTACTTGTACTTTTTTAAGTGAGTTGTAGTTATCAGGTAGGAATGTGAATTATACTTATTACACATATGAGTTGTACATATACTCATTAGACATATGAGTTGTACTTATACTTGTTACATAAGTATGAGTTGTCCTTTTATACTTATTATATAAGTGTATGAATTGTATTTATTACACAGGTACGTGAATTATATCTATTGCATATGAGCATATGTTCATATACTCATATGAGTTGTATGTGTACCGTTCACGCACCACAAGATCCTAGAACTAAACGACTTTTCCTTGTTTTTCAAACCGACTGCGAATGACTGATGTAAACAATTGTTCACTCCAACCAAAAATATGGGAGCCCCGGAAAACTATGAATATGTATGAAGCCGCGAATATGTTTTTCGATTTAATCAATATCGGCAGAATTTCTTTCGGTATGCTGCCGTCTCTTGTGACAAGCCAATCGTTGGGTTCAGAATTGATATAACTTGTAGTAGTTATTGACACAACTGTCAAATAAATACAAGCGATTAATTATGGTATTAAACTTACCCGTGATAGGCTAGGAAGGACAACAAGAAGAAAATGCAGGCCAGAACGTCTGCTCGTCCTACAATGCCAGTCACCTGAAACATGCAAGAAACACTCAAATTAGTGTCTCTTAAAATACCTTGGTTTAAAGTACAATGCTTCTCTGTAGAATATATGACAATTTCATAACATGTAACAGTTGTATGATATTAGACAAGAATTTTATAACATAAGATAACAATTTGATAACTTCACATGACAATCCCACATATGACAATTTCCGCATAAAATTCAACATAAATTCCTATAATTATTATCTTGTTATAAGAATGTGATTTAATCTAGACATCTACAGCACACATGGCACAGTAAATATTTTAGAAGGGTTAAATTTTAAGTTCAACCCCAATTGCAACCTAACCAATTGTCAACTACAAAGTGTACATAACATTCCAAGTTTTATAGATCGTAATAGCGGTAGCTGTAGGAGGTGAATAATACACGTATTCATTGGGTCTTTCACTATAAAAGTTGAACATTGACCAGCGTAAATCACGTCGTGCACAAGCTATGAAGAGGGAACAAGCCCGAGTAAAAGCTCGAACGATCAGCTTAACGAGAAGGTAGCGCATATACCGGAAGAGCGTCGGTGAGGAACTAGGGAAAATGGCGAAAGGGTACAATGGCCGGTCGCGTTACCGCGAAGATCCGCTCTGGATGTGCGAGGCGGTAAAGTGAAATTGGATTTAACGGCGTAAAACGAGAAGGCCGAGCTAGAAAGCGGCGATGAAAGCCAACGAGAGGATTCCTTTCACGAAACCCGCGATGACGGACAAGGCGAGGCAAAGGAACCGACGAATTGAAAGAGAAGAGAGGCTGGCCAAGTTATTGACAGCTCGCCACGAGTGAATAACCAAGCTTCTCGAGGATCACCCTGAAGCGGAGTGTCTCGTGTGTGCCAACATCCTCGAGAACCGGAGACTCCTATGTACCACTGGATCAACGCTTCCTCGCTTTTACTTGTCTTTCTTCATATTTTTCATTTTACCTTCTCTTGTTTCGCGAATAACGCGGTTTAGGGATATGGTGGTTTTATTTAGATTTATTTGTAGAATTTTGGGGAATGGTAACACTTGAAATTTGATAATAAGATTCTCGGACGAAACACTTCAATTTAGAAATTTCTTAACTTTTCTATTTGAAAATCTCTAAGTTTGCAAATTTGTCAATTTGTAAATCTCTCAATTTGTCAAAGTCCTATCTGAAAATTTAGGACATCCAAAAATTTGATACCTCTTAAATTCGTAGATAGCCACATTTGAAATTAAGTTCATAGACTACGAATTTAACTTCGTAAATCTTTCAATTCAATAATTCCAACTTCTCAAAGTATCAGTTTTCGGAATTTCTCCGAAACATTAAGACGTTTATACAACTGAACCAATTTCCGAGAACAGACTTCGTTAGTTTGCAATATCAGTTTACACGAAGTTGTAGCAGAGTGCCACAAAATATTTTCAACTTCTACTCGATTAATTAATAGTTATAATCGGCTTTGCAGTTTCCATTTAATAGCGTTTACGTTTGCGGTATCCTTGTTATCGGTGTTACAAGTTAATTTGCTATTATAGTTACAAACATCAGGAAATGGCAGTAACAATAAGATGGCAACCGAAAACAAGTTTGATAACCGAGGAAATCTGGTTGTTGAGAGGTGATTGCTTGAGAAAATGACACTTTCAGATGTGTGTGTAATAACACACATTTAATGGTCTTTTGTACCTGTCATCCTGAGCATGTTAATTCTTTGCATACGATTGCACCATTTTACCTTCATATATCAAACGAAAGCATATTTTAAGTCTTTTTGCATAAATTTCTCAGCGAGTGCTGTTAACAAGGTGCATAGACGTGCGGACATTTTTTACGTTCGAAAAATGATTAACGTTTGTCTCGGAAATTTCCAAGTTTCCCCATTAAATTCTCATCATTATTAACTGTCCCGCACGGCAATAAATTACGTCACCGTTAATGAAGCACCGCTACATACGCCGATCCCCTAATTTCATGCGTTTTATGGATGTTGCAAGAATACCGAGGCAGCGAAACCGATATAGTTGCTGATGTTATTATTAAATTCCAACTGTAATTACCAGCGTCATGGACATTGATGAATATCACTTCTAGCGCGGACGTTCATATCAGAAGGCGATAAATCACCGCTTAACGAAAGGAAGTTGAAAGAAGACAAAGAAGCCTCGTTCTTTGCCCTAGAATGGAATATGTTAACGACAGAATAATTGCGCTCGCGGTGACGGTTTTATGGCGCTGCCTTTTTTCGAACTTTTTAATTTTGGGATTTTGGGAATTTTCAATTTTAGGATTCTGGGGTGTTGGTATTTTTTGATACTAGTTTGGGATTTTGGAAATTCTGGATTTGAAGTTTTGGAAATTTAGGATTCAAAATTTTGGGGTTTTGGGGTGTTGGAATTTTGGGGATACTAGTTTGGAAGTTTGGAAGTTCAGGATTTGAAATTTTGGAAGTTTAGAATTCAAAATTTTGGGATTTTGGGATGTTGGAATTTTGGGGAAACTAGTTTGCAATTTTGGAATTTCAGGATTCAAAATTTTAGGATTTTGGGGTGTTGGAATTTTGGGGATACTAGTTTGGAAGTTTGGAAGTTCAGGATTTGAAATTTTGGAAGTTTAGAATTCAAAATTTTGGGATTTTGGGATGTTGGAATTTTGGGGAAACTAGTTTGCAATTTTGGAATTTCAGGATTCAAAATTTTAGAATCTTGGGATGTTAGAATGTGGGGATACTAATTTGGGATTTTGGAATTTCAGAGTTCAAAATTTAAGATTTTGGGATGTTGGATGTTTGTAGTTCCTAGCTTGAAATTTTGGAATTTCAGGAATTAAAATTTTAGAACTTTGGGACTTTGGAATTTTGGGGTACTAGTTTGGGATTTTGGAATTGCAGGGCTCAAAATTTAGAATTTTTTAATGTTGGAACTTTGCAGTCCCTAGTTTGGAATTTTGGAATTTCAGAATTCAACAATTTAGAATGTTACGACATTGGAACTTTGGTGTTTCAGTCTGTAAGACTTTTAGACTTTGAGACTTTGAGAGATGGAGGCTTTGAGACTCTGAGACTTTAAGACTTCATCGGTACTTTGGCACTACACAATTTTTTGCAACGACACTAAAATAACGTAAAAAGGGTAGATATCCAAATTGTAATAAGCGATATCGCGAGATTGGAACTCGTTAAATGGGTTGAAGCAAAATCGGTCTAAGATAAACAAGGAGTGACATGTTCCGAGGAGCCAGTTGGTCCTCTTATCTACCCTATCCGTTTAGTGGAAGGGGTGGTCCGGGTAAAATCTCGGTCGAGGAACAATACTCCGTCAACGTCAAGGGGATGAGGAAGGAGTCGAAAGTGGTCTCTTCAAGGACCAAGGAGCCATAAACGAAAGGTCTACTTAAGATAACAGAGATTACCCTGGCCACTTTGTGATAGATTCTTTCACGCGTCTCCAGTGTCCCTCGGATTTATAGGTGGGGATAATGGGCAATTTCGAAAAAAACACCGAGCGACGATTACCCTAAGTGGTGGATATAACTGAGTTTCGAAACGGCTAGCTGGATTAAATCGAGGCGGTAAAATCCTGCAGGATTCTCGTAAAGTTTTGACGTAATCTTAACGCATAACTGGAAGGTAGACTCGTTTCGGAATACTTCTACTTTTGAATCTTCAATAAATCAATTTTTAAAATCTCATATAGGCTAAATTCTTCAATGTTCTTTTCTAGACACTTAATGAAATTTATTTATAATGGAAAATATTATACATGGTAGAACGTTAGTTCTTTTAGGGTTCATTTAGGGTGGTCACATTTAGAGGTGCTCATGGTTGTAAATACGGATCAGTTGAAGGGAACTGGTTTTAAAAACTGATCTCTTATATTTTATTCAGTGTCTCATTTTAGTCAGCGTCTCATGTTGGTCTCAAGCTCTGTATATGTCAAGAATTGTTCAAGCTTCATATTTGTCTACAATTGCTCACATTTTGGGTTTCTTAATAGTTGTTGCATTTATGTGTTCTTCAAGAATTGATCAAGTTCTACGTTCCTCAAGAATTGATCAATTTTTATGATTGTTAAAAATTGTCCAATTTTTGTATTCCTCAAGAGTTGCTCAAGTTTCGTGTTCTTCAAGAATTGATCAAGTTCTATGTTCCTCAAGAATTGTTTAATTTTTTTGACTGTCGAGAGTTGCCCAATTTTTTTATTCCTCAAGAGTTGCTCAAGTTTTGTGTTCTTCAAGAATTGATCAAGTTCTATGTTCCTCAAGAATTGTTCAATTTTTTTGACTGTCAAGAGTTGCCCAATTTTTTTATTCCTCAAGAGTTGCTCAAGTTTTGTGTTTTTCAAAAGTTGTTCAAGTTCTATGCTCCTCAAGCATTGTTCAATTTTTATATTTTTCAAAAATTGCTGAATTTTTGTGTTCTTCAAAAGTTGCTCAAGTTCTATGTTCCTCAAGAATTGATCAATTTTTTTGTTTGTCAAAAATTGCTCAATTTTTTTATTCTTTAAGAGTTGCTTAAGTTTTGTGTTCTTCAAGAATTGTTCAAGTTCTATGTTCCTCAAGAATTGTTCAATTTTTATATCCTTCAAAAATTGCTGAATTTTTATGTTCTTTAAAAATTGCTCAATTGTGTCATTCGCCAGAAATATTCTTCCTTAAACGTCCCGTAAAAATTTCGCACAAAGCGCTCCTTAACGGCAACTTCAATAAACGGCGTTGGATGGAGGTAAACGATGAATGGCCGCGATGCCGATTCGCATAATACGTAATAGATCCCGGAATTATCGAAAATCGAAGGAAAAGCGAAGGGGCTGAAGGAGGCCGTATCGAGAAGAGACGGTGGTTGATACGTTCGTTCCAGTCGACGCCAGTTTGCTCCAGTTTGTACTTAGCTCAACTCCATTACCATCTCACTCGTTCAAGAGTTCTAATTGATTATATGAGGTGGTAGTTCCGCAGGAGTTCGCTCGTTACTCCGAGGTGGATCATCCTCTTCTTCCGCTTC